TTTCATTGACAACCATAATCTTCCAAAATTTAAATGCAATGTCAGCCAACATCATCTGATGCCTTGACCCCGTTATTTATTTTATCCTTTACTTAATCAACTCTATACCCAGCAATTTCTCTTATTTCACTCCCTGTAACCCCTTGCTACTTTGTGACACTCTCGTCTTGGTTGGGGTGAAATACTTAAAAAATTATATTTTCGTTTTATCGTAATCCTTTTACTTAGATAGATTCGTTTTATCATAAGGTCTTTATTTTGATAGATTTGTTTTATAGCAAGGCATTTCGGGTGGCCCCGCTGTTCATCTTGAAGTTCTCGACAATATCCAAAGACGGATATGCAATGCGATAGGCTCTGACCGGGCAACTCGACTTCAGTCATTTTCTCATAGACGTGATATGAATTCCTTCTGTCTTTTCTACAAATATTTTCATGGCAACTGCTCTGACGAGCTACTTTCACTGGTGCCCCGACTGCATAAATTTAAGCATGCTACTAGGTTGGCATCGCGGTACCTCCTTTTACTGATTTAAACAGTTAAATTTAACCGCCTCCTTTACTTCCACAACTTCTTCTCTTCTGTTTCCCGAGAGCGGAACACTTTAACTCTTATTTGCTTCCCTGATAACTACAATCTTCCAAAACTTAAATATAATGACAATCGACAACTTCTAATGCCTTGAATACTGTTCTTCTTTTCCTTTCCTCAATCGCCCCTATACCAAGACTTTTGTCTTTCTTTCATTCTCTGTAACCCCTTGGGTACCAGTGGCACTCCCGCCGTGCTTAAAATGAAATACTTAAAAAAATATTATATTTTCGTTTTATTCTAAGGCTTTTATTTTGATAAATAAGTTTTATAGTAAGGCTTTTATTTTGATACATACGTTTTATGATAAGGCTTTTATTTTGATAAATACGTTTTATCGTAAGTCTTTTATTTTGATAGATACGTTTTATCGTAAGGCTTTTATTTTGCTATTACGTTTTATCGTAATGCTTTTATTTTGATAGATACATTTTATCGTAAGACTTTTATTTTGATACATACGTTTCGTTATAAGGCTTTTATTTTGATAAATACGTTTGATCGTCGGACTTTTATTTAGATAGATTTGATTTTATCATATGATCTTTAATTTGATAAATACGTTATATCATAAGACTTTATTTTGATACATCCGTTTTATCAAAAGGCTTTTATTTTGATAAATACGTTTTATCGTAAGGCTTTTATTTTGATAGTTACTTTCTATCGTGAGGCTTTTATTTTGATAGATACGTTTTATCGTAATGCTTTTATTTTGTTAAATACGTTTTATCGTAAGACTTTTATTTTGATAGATACGTTTTATCGTAAAGATTTTATGTTGATAGATTCGTTTTTTCATAAGTTTATGATTATGTCTAATGCAGTGACAAAGAAAGAAAATAATGAAAACTGAAAACAGAGAAAAGACGATTTATGAGAAGTGATGATTAAAAGAAAAGGATAGATAAGAGTACCACAGGGAAACCAATGGAAATAAAGGGTGAAAAAAATGAAAGAAATAAAAGTAAGATGAAGAAATTAAAAAAAAACGAATGGAAAATGGTCGATAAGAAAGGCGAAAAAAAAACGTTAGTGCATAAAAAGGAAAAGAAGTAACGTCAAAGAAAACCCGAGAAAGAAAAAAGAAAACATGAAAAAAAGAGAACCTAAGTGAATTCAAAGAAAATGGAAGGAAAAAAAGAAAGTTAAATAATGGACAGAAAAAGAATCAAGTAAAAAGCGAGTAAAGAAAAGCCGTAATGTAAGAGAGGAAGAGAAGAAAAGTAAAGATGAAATGAAAGAAGGAAATTTCGGAGTAAAATGCGAAAGATTAAATAATAGAAAGACAGTTAAAGACAAGATTGAAGAAGTGAAAGAAAAAGTAAAGGAAAAGATGAGAAAGAGACAAAGAAAAGATGAAATGAAAAGAGGATAAATGGAAAGAAACAATAGTAGAATTTAAATAAAGGCCATGATGAAGAAAAGAAGACTGAAGAATAAAAGGAATGAAAGCAAGAACTGAAGGAAATAAACGAGTGATAAGTTCCACAATGCAAAGAGATAAGACTGGAGGATGGAGAATTAATAAGATGCAGATGAGAAAACGGAAGGGATCAGGGCTGAAAAATAATTCCAATGCAGATAAATAAAAAATTAAATGTTAGCCAATGCCTTAATATTTCTCACCATCGTAAACAATGATGATTAGGAAAAAAAAATCACACAAAAAACTCGTCCCAAAATTCAAAGAAATTAGAAGTCACACATATTTAGCTAAAAAAAAAGCGAGAAATAGATGGAAATGATAATGTGAAAAGCAAATATATTAAAAAAAAGATTAAACGCACAGAAAAATTAACGATATATATATATATATATATATATATATATATATATATATATATATATATATATATATATAAATTACCCCAACATGAGCATAGTCTCTTTCAAACTGGTCTGAATACAGCCGTCTTCAGCTCTTAAATGTTTGTCTGGAAGTGTGATTTGAATATTAGTTTCAATAACTTTTGAGCTCTCAGTGGATCAGTTTTAATATTTGTTATTACTGGGATCCACTTAGATTATATACTAATTGATCTATTCCTGTACTATATATATATATATATATATATATATATATATATATATATATATATATATATAAACGTGGTTTAACAGTGTTTTATACTCCAGGCCGTGTCTTATTACTACAAGAAGAACGTACGAAACATATATATATATATATATATATATATATAGTGAACATTGAACTCACCACTTAGAGGCGACAGGCTGTTTCATCCTAGACACAATCGTCAGGCCAGCATGAAACAGCCTGTCGCCTCTAAGTGTTGAGTTCAATGTTCACTTTTATCTTTACACACGTTCTATTCCTGATATTGAGCACTTTATCCCATAAATATAGCACACCTTGAGTATATTTCTTTATATATATATATATATATATATATATATATGGTATTTTCAATTTTTTTTTGTTTAAACTTTATTTTTGGTGGATACTCATATTCGAATAGAAGATCTGTTTTTTTAATTAAACAATATTTTTTTTATCTTTCTACATCTATCGGTCTGAATAAATGTGTCAAAATGACCAAAAGTGGAAATGTGCTACTCATGACTCTCACCAGCGAATTTATATTTTTTTTGAAAATTGACTTGAAAGACACCGTTTGACCAATACAAGTGCTGACTGAAATTAACTACAAACAACAAATGAAAACTAAAGGCAAACTTTAATTTCTTCCGAAACAGTCATTCAGTCCTGAGTTCACTGCTATTCCTCCTATTTTTTTTTCTCCTAATGATGGCCAAGTTGGCCGAAACTACTCGAGGAACCTAAATTTAAAGAATAAAACAAATAATATTAATATACAAACCAGTATATATATATATATATATATATATATATATATATATATATATATATATATATATATATACAGCACGTAAGATTTGATTATAGTGGTGAGTGTTTTGTGCAGAACCATCCATACTTTTTGAATATTTAAGAGTTAGGATTTAAGAAACAGCAGATATTTCTATATATCGTGGTCAATATTTGAAATATTAAAATATTCAAACAGAGCGTTAATGATATTATATGAAAGGATTACTTAATTTTTAAATATCAATTTTATCCCAACATCGATGTTTCTTGATAAATTTTCCAGTCTTCAAATAAATAAAATATAACAGAGCCTACCATCCCAGGTCAGGGTGAACCTGTTAGCACCAACGATTAAGAGGTGTTTCTATATACCTCAAAATCCTTGCAGTCCTTGCAGATGGATATAGTTCATTGCCATATCCAGGAATCAATATCACCATGATCGTTATATATAAACAGTTAAATGTAACCGCCTCTTCTACTCCAACAGCTTCTTACCTCGCACTTCCCGACAGTGAAATTCCCTTCCTCTTACTTACTTCCCTGATAACAATATTCTTAAAAAATTTAAATGTAATGTCAATCGATGCCTTGTCTTGATCCCTGTACTTCAACTTTTCCTTTCCTGAAACACCACCTTTACTGTTAGATTCACTTTCTGCAACTGCTTGCGTCCTAGTGGCACTCTCGCCTTGCTTGGGGTGAAATGCTTAAAAAAAATAATAAATGTCCTCAAAAGCGAAGAAAAGACTTGAAGCAACAGAAATGTGGTTCTACAGAAGGGTGCTGAGGATACAATGGACTGAAATTGTGAGCAGCAACGAAGTTTTAGAGAAAACGGAAAGAAAAAGGAAACTTACACTTAACATTAGGAAGACACAGTTGAAATTTCTACAGAAGGATGCTGAGAATACCATGGAGCGAATATGTGAGTAACGACGGAGTTTTAGAGAAAATGGAAACAAAAAGGAAACTTATACTTAACATCAGGAAGAGACAGTTGAAATTTCTACAGAAGGATGCTGAGGATAACATAAACCGAATATGTGAGCAACGACGAAGGTTTAGAGAAAATGGAACCAAAAAGGAAACTTATACTTAACATCAGGATGAGACAGTTGAAATTTCTGGGGCATGAAGAAGAGTGCGTGTAAAATCTGATACTCACAGAGCAGATTGTAGGCCAGTTGGAGAGAAGAAAACAATGCTTGAGTAAATGGATGTTAGAACGGGATTTGGGACAAATGACAAAACTTAAGAGCTACAATGGATAAGAAGATGTGGAGGGCCGACATCACCTACGTACTGATGGGACACGGCACATAAAAGAATAATAGTTTTCTAACGGCACACGATGGAATCAAAAGGGCGTCTACTCAAACGTGAGTGTCTACAAAATAACGTTTGGAATAATGTCAGCTAAAAAATCCATTCATTCCTTAGAAATTACTTTGACTCCTTTTTTAAAAAACATTAGCAGATATGGCCTTTTGATAAGATTTCTAGGAAATGACGTGCGTTCTTCAAAGATGTATTTAAACACTTCCGAATTTTCACACTCTCTGTGTCCGAGCGTTTTAAAGCACACTGTCTCAAACAGAAGTTTCACTTACCAGTTCGTACTCTGTCAAAGAATATTTTTTTAAGTCTCTCAAATGCACATGCCGGTAGACGTAATTTAAAATTAAAAAAAAAACAGAATGTTTACTAAAACGTGAGTATTCACAACATAGCATTTGGTAGGGTATATATATATATATATATATATATATATATATATATATATATATATATATATATATATATATATAATTAGTCTCAGTTTGGTCACCTACACAGAAGATAAGTTTCAAGTAATCTTATCTCAGAGTGTCGACATATAAAACCATAAAGCAGAAGAAGGTTGTTTTTTGGCATATCTGGTGTTGACAGGCCCGGCATTCTGCAGACGAAACTGATGCCAGTTGGGTTGGGGAAAAAATTCGCTAAAGGTCGAATGTCACTCGACGTGAAAGAAAGAAAAGAAAACATTGCCACGGTGAAAGAATTTTTAAGCAATAAGTTCGTGAAAATATAAATATTTAAAGAAAAATTAAACAAATGAGTAAAACTATGTTTTTTAATTAAAAAGCAAAAAAAACGTTCTTACCTTTTAGAGAGGTAGAAAGCAATAAACGAGAAACATAAATATATAAATCATATATATATATATATATATATATATATATATATATGTGTGTGTGTGTGTGTGTGTGTGTGTGTGTTTCAGCATAAGGGGTGAGGAAGGTCAAGTCATTAAGTCCGTAGCCTTACAAAACGTTTATTATCTAAATTTTCCATGTATAATCTTGAAGCACTGTAAGTGAGAAACTTTGGATTCGGCACATTGCCAAGAAATATGATTCTGAAACATAAAGAGTTTTGGAAAAGAAATGGCTTTTTCACATCATTAGGTGACAGACATATTAATTTACTTAGGTGATATATATACATATATATATATATAAAATATATATATATATATATATATATATATATATATATATATATATATATACTTTCTTTATATATATATATATATATATATATATATATATATATATATATATATATTAAAGTAGTAAAACACCTTATATAACTGCACACTGTCTTGGTTTGGACTGTTTTTTTTAATACAGTATTTTTCAGGCTTAACAATTTTTGTTTTACACACACACACACACACACACACACACACACACACACACACACACACACACACACACACACAAACAGAAAACACATACACACACTCACTATATATATATTTCTTTCTCTCAATCTGGATATATATATATATATATATATATATATATATATATATATATATATATATATATATATATATTATAAATTAAATGATTTAAAATATGTTTTTTCGCTACACAGTTGTAGCCATGTTTCAAAAATGGTAGCTAAAAGCTTAGAATCTAATTTTGTAATTAAATTAAAGACATTAGTTCAATTTCATCCTCAAGCGAATTTAGGATTAACTTATTTTTAAATTTACTGGGTTTTAATGCCGCGACTAAAATCATAATTTACATTGAGCACTCTTTTGTAAAAATAAAAATATCCCTGAGAACACCGGATTATATATTTTAATGTTCTTTCTCCCCCCCCATCTCTCTCTCTCTACATATATACATATATATATATATATATATATATATATATATATATATATATATATATGATAAATAGTAAAACATCTTATATAACCGCACACTGTCTTGTTTTGGTTTTGACTGTTTTTTAGTACAGTATTTTTTTCGTACACTTAACAATTTTTGTTTATATACATATATATATATATATATATATATATATATATATATATATAGAGAGAGAGAGAGAGAGATAGATATATATAGATAGATATAGATATAGATATATACAGATATATACACACACACACACACACACACACACACACACACACACACACACATATATATATATATATATATATATATATAGCAGCTCAGACTACATAACAGGTTCGTTCTCAAGGTGCAGCGTCTTCCAATCGAACGCTTGTGGCTAAATACATATATAAAATAACGGTTTGCTCACATCGTTCTCCATGAAATAAATCTATGAGACTAGATTTTAGTAGTCGGCTTATTTTATTCGGTTCTAACATTCTCCTGTGGGTGGACGAATCAGAATAACGCGGGATGTCGGAGCGAACGGTCTAACTAGGCTGTCTTGCCTTTCGCGTGGCGATCGAGCGTTCTTTGTCATCGGCTGATAGGATCTACTGTCTTACATATATATCAACCTTCCTTATCTTGCTAGTTTTCGCCTAGAAAAACATTCATCAAGACCGATTGACTCATCTGACATTTCTTCGTCAGGTTCGTTTGACATGGTTCTTTTGAGTTCCACTCTACTCAGTTGACCTATTTTGTCAGGGTCGTTTGGTATGCTTCTTGTCAGTCCCGATTTCAATCAAATGACAAATAACTGTCAAAAAGAAAAAAATCTGTAACATATTTCAGGTGTTTTCTTTAACAAGATACCAGCTGTCAACTGATACCGCTCTTGAAGTGTTCATCTCAACCAGTTTGCCTTCCCATATGCACCAACCAGGATGGTATTATACAAAAAGGAAAACATAAGAAAATTACCTATGTTATATGTAGTCGCACCGAAACAACAAATTTAGTCCGATGACGTACTAAATGATGAAACGTGTGGCACGATATCATTTTTCCATTTGTCCCCTGATAGATAGATAGATAGATAGATAGATAGATAGATAGATAGATAGATAGATAGATAGATAATGGACAGATGAGATAGATAGATAGATAGATAGATAGATAATGGGACTAGATAGATAGATAGATAAATAGATAGATAGATAGATAGATAGATGATAGATAACACTGAAATATTAAGATAGAAATGAATAGGTTAAGATAGATGGAGATAGATAGATAATGGAGGTGAGATGAGATAGATAGATAGATAAGATAGATGGAATTGAATAGGTTGAGATAGATAGATAGATAGATAGATAGATAGATAGATAAAACGAAACTGCTCTCATTCACCCACCACAGAGGACCTTCCCTGCCTACCTAGCTGTTGCTCAACTCCACGAGAGCGCCACTCTGCGCCTGCTTGGTCCTACGCTGCCCGCTGATCTTCTTCTCACGCATTTCCTGTCTGTCTAACTCCTTTCCCTTGCTTCCCTGTTAGCTATAATCTTCAAATATTCTAATGTAATGTCTGAAGAAGCTTTTAGCGTAGAAGAGGCGGTTAAATTTAACCGTTTCGACAATCAAAAGGTTGGACCGAGATGCCAACCTAGTAGCACGCTTAAATTCATGCAGTTTAAGAACCAGTGAAAGTAGCTCGTCAGATCAGTTCCCATGAAAATATGTCTAGAAAAGACAGAGGGAAGCCACAGTACGTCTATGAGAGAGTGACTGTAGAAGAGATGCCTGATCAGGACCTATCACATTGCATATCCGACTCTGGATTTTGTCGAGGACCTCGAGATGAACAGCGGGGGCACCAGACCAGATCGGAAAACAGTATTCAATTCAAAGACGAATGGTAGATTTGTAGATTTGAAGGATTGACTCAAGGGAGAAGAACCTTCTGGTGCAACACAGAGAACCAACTTTCCTTGCGGTAGATTAAGCTATTGATTCAGTGTAGGTGTTCCACCTCAGGTGACTAGAAAGCGTGAGACTAAGAAGGCGCAGAGAGGCGCTCCCGTGTAGTTAGGTATCAGCCATTCTGCTAGGAGCCAAAGAGGGTTCTCTATGGTGAGTAATTGAAAGCAGTGTAATAACTTCTAAATAGTTTCAGAAACTGAAATGATATCAATGATAAACTCACATTTGTATTCATTGTTTATTTTTATAATGTTTGTTATAATTTTTTTATTAGGGTTTTGTTGAAATATGACTTCATTTGATTTGCAATAAATAAAAAAAAATAGTGATATTTCTTAAAGAATTATTCTATTGAGAAATAAAACATATCTATTCTCGTTTATTTAAAGAATTTGCAGTAATTTTAATTCAGGCTATGGAAACGCAGCTAAATTATATCACGTGTAAAAACTATTCAAGACGGTTCCGGGCGACTTAGAGTGTTGATCAGTGTATAATTTCTTAAGCGTAGGGATCACGAAATGTTATTATCCGGCCCTCTTTGTATCCATCCGTGCTCAAATTTTTTGAAGCAACCCTTTCTTTCAGCATACGGTCAGTTTTAGACCCACTGGAGTGGCATGGTGTAATCGATTTCTATTTTTCCTCAGATTAGATCATTTGAAGTGTTATGCAGTAATATGTATCTGTGTGTAATGAAATTTATTTGGCCTTGAAAAATATTGTTTTATCTGTGATTGCATCGTTTTTTTTATCACGCCCTGGAAACTATCGTCTCGACTGTCGATTAGTTGTCCTACGCCATTGTCTGCAATGTAGGTTCATTTGAAGTGTTATGCAGTAATATGAATCTGTGTGTAATGAAATTTATTTGCCCTTGAAATAGATTGCGTCATTCATGACTGCATCAGGTTTTTATCACTCCCGTACACTATTATCTCGACTCTCGATTAGTTGTCCGACGTCATTTAAAGTATTTTCAATGACTTTAATTCAGGCTATGGAAATGCAGCTAAAATATATCACAAGTAAAAACTATTCAAGACGGGTCCGGGCGACTTAGAGTGTTGATCTATCTGAGCAGGGTATAATTTCTTAAGCGTAGGGGTCCCGAGATGTTATTATCCGACCCTCTTTGTATCCATCCGTGTGCAAATTTATTGAAACAACACTTTCTTTCAGCAGCCACTGGTGTGACAAGGTTTAATTGATTTCTATTTCTCCTCAGATTAGTTTATTTGAAGTGGTATGCAGCAATAAGAATCTATTTGTGTGGTGGGGGAGTGTAATAAAATTTATTTGGCCTTGAAAAATATTGTTTTATCTGTGATTGCATCAGTTTTTTATCACGCCCTGGAAATTATTGTCTCGACTGTCGATTAGTTGTCCTATGGCCATTGTCTGCTATGTAGGCTACATCAAGGAAGCGTACGAAAATTTGTAACGCTGCACGAACACACTACCAGTGTGTTTACCAGTGAGTAAATCAAAGTACAAGACTGGAATGGAAAATCTGATTTAACTCCAATCGAGAATCTGTGGTCAATATGCAAGGAATGACTGGATCATGCTTCATTGGGAAAATACGGAAACACCGTAAATGATAACGGAATTATTCGTTTTGTTTCAATTAATTTGCACAAGCGTGTAGATCTTCTGGTTCGGTGAGTGTCGTCTCGCTGTACAGGTGAAATAAATCCGATAAGAAATAGTCAACCTTGTCTAAGTCTTCTTCATTTTTCTTTCTACATAGAAATTATTTTAAGACATTTTTTATGTGTATACATTCTTTTTATAGATACAAATATTTAAGTAAATGCTCTGTTTATAATAAACAGTATTAAACAACATTTACCG